GTTTCCAGTCCATATTCCCCACGACTTCCGGCCCGCGCGCACCGACGACACGCGATGGCCACAGCCACCGCGCTCCGGTCGGCCAGCCTCGCGCGCATGCGCGATATACTGCCTGGCTCACCTGACCCTCGGAGGCCGTGCCCGCAACCGATATGGCAGAGCAGTCCCAGTAAAGAAAACTCTAAACCAAATGACAGTTTAGAAAGTCGATATTGGTTTATTGCGGCGCCGGGTGCACGAGGAATATCCCCTCCTAGCATGCACACCGAACACAATTCTTTGTATCTACACACAAAGCTTTTAGGATAAGTTTTACTGTCCACCCCCTTTACAATGATTGGTTTTACAATTATAATATTGCTGGCACATTGTTTCCACTATTACGTATTGCTCAGGGGAAGGGTCTTCACTTGGGCAATGGTCTTCTTGACCTATGGGCCTGATTTTTAGTATTATAATAAGCGTTTAATGAGCCAAGTTCACAAAAAGGACAAAATTCTTTAGATATCTACTAATCTACAAAAACACTTCTCAGTTTACAAGTCCACTGCTGAGGTACTAATGAGCATGTACCCTCCTGGTTTTGATAAGCAAGGGGGCTAAGGTTTGTTAACAAACATTTCTCAGCAATGTAAGCAAAGAAACACGTTGAAAAACAGTGTATCACCAAAAGAGGTTAACAGAGTTGTTATCATCGACACAGCTTAACATCTAAAAACATCGTAAAAAAATAGAGCATTGTTATAACAGCTTACAGAAAATCACGCTACCAGGAGTCAGTGTTCACAAAGGAAACAGAGAAGTCCTGTAAAAACTTCATTCAAATAAAGGGAGAGACATATTCCTGTGGGGTCTCAACCTACAGAGGGACGCAGACTCCTTTTATCCTACTTTCTCCACCACAAGAGACCTTCTTCATTTCCCCATTGGCTGAGGTACTCTGAGTGTACAGACTTCCCGATCTGCCTGTGACTTTCAAGACATTCACATAGTTACACCCACATCATGTATCATGGGTATCTTGGGTAGCTAAACTCTGTTTCTTCTTTCCTTCTTAAGTCTGTGTTCACACTTTTGTTTACCTTAAGTACAGGCTACTTTTGTTCCTTATCTCGAGCCTGGGTACAAACAGACTATAGCAAAGACATCCAACTAGTGTTTGTATCATAGTGAAAAACAGAATAGTCAAAACTTATCCTAACAAAATGTCGTAAAAATAGAAGATAGTGCAAACCAGAATATTATCCGAAACAGCGCATAGTGAAAAACAATGTCGTCTAAATAACACAGAAAGATATCACGATTGCTATAATTATTCTAATAGTTAACCTCAAACACTTCGGCTTGTCAGCCTAACACAAAGAACAAGAACATCGGGCCCGTAACACTACCAGAGCGCGCGTAATCACCCGCCGACCAGCCCACTGAGACACAATTGGCTCCAAGTCCAGACACGGGCTCGCAGCGCTTCCGGGTTAGCGGGAGGCGAGCGCCCTGGCCGCCGGGTGGTCGCCTCTGCTGTAAGCCACTCCCTACCAGCGCCTCCCAGTGCCGAGCTGCCCCATAGCCGCCGCGCACCGAGCGAGGTAGGCCCATGCCGGAGGGGCAAAGTCACAGACCACAGCAAAACTCCGTTCCGTTACGCTCTGACGGAGTGAAGAGTGGGGGGTCGGAGGGAAAAGGGACCTTCCCAGCAGGCAGCGCGCTGCTGAGTGCCACGCCGCTGTGCACGGTGGGAGTTGTGTACGGGGTCGCGGCTTGGCCGGGTCCGGC